GCCCACGATTCACTCAAAAAGCACCAAGAACTCCTTCGAACATACACACAGTATTACTACAGGTGAATCAACCAAAGCCTCTCAATATTCACACAGAATATTACATTCGTAGGTAGATCTAACTATTATAATACTCTAAATCAAAGATTTAGAGTGAAAATAGGCATCAAGAATCAAACAATATCTCTTCCTCTAGTTTTCTCTTAGAGAGCAGAAAACCCTCGAAGTCTCTCGAAGAATGAATCGAATCGAATCGAATGCCAGAAATATCTCAAGCCCAAGTATATCAACAGTCCAAGCATCCAACGGTCACAGGTGAGCCACGTGTCATCAATCCAAGTGAAGTTGCTTCTCATTTTAAGAGAAGCGTGATTTTCAACCACTATTTCAACCAAAAGCTGGGAGCATAATATATGGGCCAGGATCCGGCCCAACATTTACTCTTACAATTAGATCACGAATTGCAAATGTCTGCAAAAGCTCTCATGCTATTTTACGCGACAATCCATATCGATGTAATGAAAGTTATGGACCGGGTTGTTACTTGGGGATAAAAAACATGCTAAAAATTAGATTTTTAGTAGATAAAATTGATGAAATATGTGGTTAAAAAATTGTGGCTTCCACAAAATATGTAGTTAAAATTACTTGTTACCTTTTGACTTAAACTTTTAACAAACTTTTAAGCTACACCAAACGGGGGGCTAACTTATTTTGCATGGAGCTTCATGTAGGTAAAATAGCATGAAGATATTGTTTGGATGCATATTCCATTCATGCACTAGAATTGTTAAAAGTAATATTTTATAATGCATATTGAACTTTGCAGATTTTATACCTTTGTACCAATAAAATTGTTATTGTATAAATTGATTATTCCATTCATGCACTAGAATTGTTATTGTATGTGATATAATCGAATTAACGAATATTTGCTGAAAATGGTTATAAAAATGATATCTGCTCGTGTTTTCATATATTTGCAAGTGTGACAACTTATGTTTGTAATTTAAATCTAATAAGAATTCATGAATAGCTCAACAAACTGTAAATTACTTGAAAATGAATTTGAGATTAAAAAACGAAGAAGTCGGAAAAAAAAAAAACCAAATTCCATCTTAGATTGCAAATTGAACATTTTCAAGAAGGTTATTATTCATCAAAATTGTTAAAAGACATTTTTATATGGATTGAGTACATCCATTGGCATCATTAATACTCGTTTGATCACTTGAGTCGAAAAAAGATCCATTTCACCCACATAAAGATGGAGAAAAGGTTCTTGCTCTTTAAGTATTTTAAGTGTAATTAAGGTATTAGTCTATCTTGTAAATTGCACTCGATCATACATAATTTTTTCTATAAATCTTCTTACAAGATATGTCTCTACACCAACTCAAAGATATTAAAGTGTTAAGCACATTCTCCATTACCTATGAGTACTTTTAACATTAAATATAAAATAAATGTTTTTAACCCTAGTAGAAATTACACTACATGTATAATTTATTAGGGGTGTTTTGAAAAATCATGTGAAAAGTTTTTAGGAAGTAAAAAATACTGTGTAAAATAAAAAAGTGACATATTATCACTTTTTTATAAAAATTGTCACTTTTTTTTAAAAAAAAAAGTGACACAAACTCAAAAAAAGTGACAAAATTTAAAAAAAAAGTGACACACACTCAAAAAGTGATACAAACTCAAAAAAATGACAAAACTAAAAAAAAGTGACACTCTCTCAAAAAGTGATAGAAACTCAAAAAAGTAACACAAATTCAAAAAAGTAACAAATACCAAAATAGCACCATCCATTTGTGCAGTAATCATGTTCTTAAAATAATCAGCACGTCCGGTCAATCCACATGCTAATTATGTTAGGAAAATATAACATATTATTTTATTTTTTTATCTTTTTAAAAAGTGACAAACTTAAAATGTGACCAAAAACTAAAAAAGTGAAAAAATTCAAAAAAGTGACGAATTCAAAAAAGTGCCACAAATTAAAAGAAGCCATACAGATTAAAAAGTGACAGACAATAAAAAAAAAATGACAAACATTCAAAAAGTGACAATTTTTAAAAAATGACAAACTCAAAAAAGTGACAAAAAAAAGTGACACAAATTAAAAAAAAAAAGGTGACAATCACTCAAAAGCGAGAAATTCAAAAAAAAAAAAAGACTACACTTAAACTATTTGAACTATATTTATTATTGATCATATTTTTCACACATTTTACACTGGGTATTTGAGTTGTCCATTTCAGGAAACAGGTGCATAAACTGAAATGAGGATTTTGTTCAAGACAGATTTAAGTTTAAGTCATGTTTATGAGTATGTAATTTTCATTTGACTACTGCCTTGACTTAGTTTGTAGTTTTGTCACAGAATGCCAAATGGGGAGTTTGTTAGGTTTTAGATTATTTGTAATTGGCGGTTCTGTGAACAAAAGGACTGAAATTGACATATTGTAAAAGTTCAAGAAGTAATATGCAAATATGTTGAAAATAGAGATTTTAGGTCTAGGGTTCGAGAACGGCAAAAGCGGAAAATGGCATGGATTTTCGCTGGTCTGTTGCCAAGATATGGCTCGAGCTACAAAAGCAGAAACTTTATGGCTTGACTATCGCACTTCCTTCGCTCAAGCGACAGTCTGTCGTTCAACTGTCCCTGACCCTCGCTCGAGCGACAGCTTTATTCGGGAAATTTTTATTTCGCGTTTTAAAAGCTTTTTCCATGGCCCGTCTGTATTATACTCTACCTATAAATACCAAAACAGAATTGAACGTGTTTGAGGAGGTTGATTATTGAGAGAAAAAGTCTAGAGAGTGAATCCTCCACATCATTACTTTCAACCTTCATCTTGTGTGAGATCTTCTGAGAGAAAAATATCATATCCAAATTCAAATACCAAAAATCATACTTCCTACATATCTTTCAGAGGTGCTGAAGATCGAGGAAGGCGACTGAAGTTTGAGTCTATGAAGAACTGGTTGTTCGTTGTGATCCACAGGATATAGGCTATTCTACCAAGCTAGGGGCTGCTGTAGGATAGCGAAGTTCAAGGAGAGAGTTGGTTATTGCAGCTGGAATTGGTGCAGGGAAGCATAGAATTCAGGAGAGCTGTCAGAATTGCAGTCAGGAGATCAAATAGTTCGTGTCGTCATCTAGTCTGGTAGACTATAAGTACATAATCATTTATGGTGGATTGACTGGCAAAGTGCCGAGAGTTTTTTCTAGTTGGGTTTCTCCGTAAATAATTCTTGTGTTCTTTACTGCTTTATTATTTATTGTTTATGATATGCAAACTACGGTTATTCAACATAGGATTATTTGACTTGCATGATTAACCATCTAGATGAGAATTAAAAGTGACTGGTTGATGTTTAATTCGTGATTGATTTTAATTCCGTATAAAATACCTATTCACCCCCTCTAGGTATTGTTAGGGTCGAACTACGTAACTTTAAACCCACAATATTCAGCTCCAAAATAAGATTAAATCACACAAACTTATCTTCTAAACAATTATACAAGAACTGAGTTACTGTCCACCAAGAAATAAATAGCATCAAGAACACCTTCGAAGCAAATGCCACAAAAGCTGCTGCATCCTCCGTCACGTAATTTGTTGCATCCCAAGTTCCACCTCTGGTTGGCTGCATTTACCATCGCCCTCGACTGTAGCTGACATAACAAAGTCTCTGTAAAACATATGTGCCCAAGATCCGGATTCTGTTGTGGATCCAAAATCTGTTCCGGAACCGGACCCTGAACTAAGATCAAAGCTGCTATTAGGACTAGTCATAGGGTTGAACCTGTGGTTATGTCAATGCTGAATTTCCCACCATTTTTCGCACTAATCGTTGAATTGGCTAGTGGTGTAGTGTCTATGCCACCCTCAGAGATGAGTTCGAAGCGGTAGCCTAGGAGGTCTCCACCATTGCCCTCCCTCCAGGCCTCCAGGCGGCCCCAAGGCTTCCAAGTGCTGTGGCTGTGTCGAAGAATTAGCCATGCTCCTGGATTAGATCGGCTCACCCTATCGGTGCCAAGCGATGGCACAAATGGTGTCACCGTTGATGCAGCAGCTACAGGTGAGCCAGAGAGGTCGGGGACGGTGATCGACCACCCCTTTCTCTCTTTCATCGGCTGTTCTTTATTAGCTGTTACTGAACTCACGCAACTGGTTGAGGTACTTAGTTCTGATAAGGAAGATCTGTTCAATGACAATTCAAGAATTAGGGGCCATTTGAAGAAAGATTATTCTGGTTGAGGTACTTGGTTCCCCAATTGTATTGTTTAATGTTCATTTGTATTCTCTCTCTCACATTTGTAGCCATGAATTGGCTATATATTTCTCAGTGCGTGTGATCAAGGGTTTGGATGGTTTTGGGGGTTTTTCTGTGTGCGGGGATGCTGGAGGGTTTTTTAACGTATTTATTATGTTATTAAATGTTTTAGTTAGTTAATAGGGTATTAATCAAATTAGTTAATTTTTTAGGGTATTAGGCCTAATTTGCCCTTAAATTTATCTATTCGATCCATATAAAGCAAAAAAAATTACAAATAGGATGTCGTTTAAATTACAAATTTATCTATTCGACTGAAGGTCATCGCGTTTGTGAATTGGTACCATGAGTTAAAGCTCAAAATGTTAGCAAATTGTTATTTGATTGCTTGTCTACAAGTCTGGATATATTTTATCTATTGAATTAACTTTCGTTTTGACTTTTGATCTTCGACAAGTTGGCGTTGATGAAGTTCTCTGTTGTTTTTCTCCTCGCACACGAGTCCGCTTCTCCTTTCTATTGTCTCTGACGATTCCTTTTCGAGAAATCTTCACCCACAACTCCTAAATTCTTGCTACTTCAACCACCTTATATGGTGTCTTTGTTTCATATTTCATTTAAGGGGGTTTGCAAAGATTGGGCATTGCAAATTTGCTGATTGCTTTTATCATTATTAGCTTTATGAATTTGTTTTGCTTTTTCATCGGACAAAAGCCAAAAAGGCAAATGGGTCCGTAAAGGTGGGTGGTGAAGAAGCACAGGTGTGGATTAGTGCTTTTCATGATTGCTTTTATCATTATTAGTTTTATTGTTACTGCAGTAATCAAGAATGACTACAATTCATTTGGATTGACAGCAGCTGATTTGTTATTCATCCTTGGAAGTTGCCTCCTAAATTCTAGGATACTCTTTCCTAGTTTAAAATCCTGTCTAGATTTCTTTTGTTTATTCTTTTTATCATGTACTTGTCATTTTTGTGATAATAGTTATTCTTGTGGAGGTCAATGAATTGGTTGAGTTGATAGATGACAATGGCGGTGAATTGAATTAAAGATGCTTAGCATTTTAATCGATGTTTTGTCGATAAATTGAATTAACGATGCTTGGCATCGAATGGAGGTACAATGGTTGTGTCATTTTTTTTTTTTTTTAAATTTCTGTCATTTTATTGAACTGATTCCAATTTTTTAATTTGTGTTTGTCACTTTTTTGAGTAACGAATATCAATTTTTTAATAAAAGTGACATTTGATGTAAAAAAAAATGACATTTAATTTTACATTATAATTTTTACTTTCAAAATATTTTTCATATGATTTTTCAAACGATTCTTAATTTTAAGAGTAATTTTGTAAGTTGTCCCGTGAATTTCTTGAATACTTTTTAAAGTGGGCCGCTGGGGCTAGCTTTACCCGGGTTAGTAATATTGTCCTTTTTTTGTATATTGAAGTGTTGTTACAAACAAAATGTAAGGTTTTCAAATTATTTCAATGAGGGCACTCAATCTACTATGTATGAAAGTCAAGAGCACGAGGAGAATATATCTATAGATTTGGAGAAATATTTGGAGAAGTGAAAGTCAAGCTTCAAAATTGAGTTTTATCTATAACTTTGCATTTTCTCAATTATTTTGCTAATAATATTTGTAATGTATTGTATAAAATATTCTCATTTTTATCACTTATATAACATGGGTTAAGTATTTTTGTTGGAATTTATAGTAGGAGTTGACATAGCTTTAATTAATTTTAATATTGGCATTTTAATGTTAAAATACTTATTTTCGTATTTATTTATTATTGTGTTGAATATCTTTCATTTATTTGATTATTAAATGATTGAATTTAGTGATTTTTATATCGTTTGAGAGAAGATTGAACATTTTAAACCAAATAGTAAATACGCTTAGTTTGTGTAGGGAATAAAGATATATCACTAACCTTAGTAATCCATTGAACTATTTTCACAAAGATTTAGGGTCTGTTTGGGCCGGATTAAAATTTGATATTAATCCAAGTCAAAATCAAATAATCAATATTAACCACATTTTTCATGAGTTCCACATCTTTTCAATCATACATTTTAAAAACTTCTATCAGAATCCACTACAAATCTAATTTTAATCCCCATCAAACACTCTCTTAATGCGATTGTTTGGTTTTGATAGACATAGAAATATAGTAGATTAACTAATTCATTAGGGTTAATTTCGTTCGAAATGGATAATTAACTAAAATTGAAAAATCGAGTTGAACATAGTAATAAGTAATTTATTAATTGGTTTGTAGAGAAATTATTTAGGCGACGATTAAGCGAAATCATAAATCCAAACCACGTTTTCCTTCGAAATTTTCCAAGTTTTTATACTTTCTTGTTATGTGTATTTCCTTTTATTGTTGGAATTAAATTAATTAAAATTGTGTAATCGAAAGTACACATTCTTGAGAAATTAACAACTCGGACTCAAAATGTCCATTTTATTACTTGAACACGACCAATGCACTTGCGGTTTGCACTTTCTAAGCGAACAAGTTTTTGGCGCTGTTGTTGGGAAATATTTTTACTTTGATTATCACTTTAATTAATTTTAGTTTTAACAATTTTTAAATTTACTTGTTTATTTTTTATTTTTGTATATTTGGCTAACCCCTGTATTTTTAATTTATCTTGTATTGGTATTCTCTTCTTGTACTTTTCGGCTATAGTTGAATTATTCCAATCTTGGTAAAGTAACAAAGTGTTTGCAATGTCTAATCTCTACATTGACTATGAAATTATGTTTGGAGGTCCAAGATGTAAACTTTGTCAAGCGATGAATTGTACAGGGCAATGCTTGTATTCGTGCACTGATACTTCAATATCGAAACTTCTTTGGTTTAGGGAATATTTGAAACGTAGAAAACAAACACTAGACAATTTCGATGATATTTACATGCTCGCGGGATATTAAGTACCTAACAATTGAGATGAGGACATCAAATTTTCAGGAGATGGTCCTTTATTTTTTAACTGGAAAGAAGTTACAAAGTATTACCATGAACTTACCAAGTTGGATGTAGATGTCATGCTTGTGGGAGATTACGAATATTGGAATGGATTTAAAAAATGAGGGTAATCTACTCGAATTAATCACAAACGAGCTATACGAGGATGCGACAATCAATGAGAAGAAAATCAACTTACATTCTTCCGACTTAGTTGATTGCCAAGATATTAATTTGTGATTAAGCCCGATGAGAAAGTAGAAATCTTCAAAGTAGAATTTGAATTGAATGAAATAGACAAGTCCTATCATATGGAAATGGGCAATGTTGAGTTTTGGAGATCCAATGAAGAGCGAAACAAAACAAACGAAGAAAAATGGGCAAAGCATCCAAAGCCTTTCTTTAGATGCCCACGAGTCAATTGCCAAAGTCGAGCTAAAATCTATTAAAAAAAACTTATTGGGAGGTAACCCAATTTTCTAACTTTTAATCTTTTTATTTGCTTTTATGCATTTTCATGTTTTTATTTGATTAGCTATCATTTTTTGTAGATAGTTTTTGAAGTCTCACATATCCATGATTCCTTACAATTTTTGGGGTAGATTGGTGTACAAAAAAGTCACTTATCCAAATGTATTAACAGCACCACAAGTCTAAGTAGAGCATTTGCACCTCTTTACCAAATATCCGATTGGGGTTACCTTCTCTTTTATTATCTTGTTCTTTTACACATTGAGGATAATGTATGGTTTAAATTGGGGTGATTGTGCTCTGATTGTTGATTTTGTCTTGACATGTTATATAAGCCTTATTGGCTTAGAATTGTTTGATATTTGAAATTGTTGTTGACTCACAAACTATGACCAAATATGCTATTTCTGTCTAAATTTTTTTTTTCAATTGCTTATCCATTGTAAGATTTTGAATTACTTTGAGTACAATAGTCATAATTAATTATTATCTAAATGTTGAAATTTTTTATTGATGGTGAGACTTTGAATTGGTAAGAATTAGGTTGTGAGCTGTGTTTAAATTTCTATTAATCTTACATTCACTTCTTTATCACTTAACCATATCGTGAGATAAATTTGGAGGTAATAGAGCAGGTAAAAGATATTATCTAGAAACATGTTGATTTCATGCATGTGACCATATTTGTGTGGAGTGTCTTTGATTAACAAATATAAGTTAGGTAATGACCATATGCTAGGAATCTAAGTTATGATTATTTTGTCATGCTAAAAAGGGACATTGCACTTGTTGATTTTTGCCTCACTCCGTAGCTTTTTTACTCGAATTATTAAATCCGTATGGGTATCTGGAAACCTAGTACCCTTTGGTCTAAAAAATCAGGGAAGTATCAATCTAAAACTCATTACATTGGTCAAAAAGAAAGTTTAAATATTGAGGTCAATCATGAGCTTTTATTGAAAATTTTGATGAAAATTGTGCGATTGTATTTAATGTTTTGGTTTAGATAACTAGTGAATTTGAATTACTTAGTATAAGCTTGAATGTCGAAGTACTCATCTAGTGGAGAATCATCACGTTACTAGAGATTGATATTGTCGGTTAGACCCAATCAAATTAGAGCGCTAAAAGAAAAGAGTGAGAGTGATTGAGAACAACATTTAGTTTTACACCAAGGGAAAGAAAATGAAGTCATTTGAGGAGTATAAATCTCACAGGCGGGAAATGAAATATTTGAACACAAAGGGTCGAATTGAAGCTTATTTGAAAGTTTTTCCGTTCTTGATAATTGTTTCATAATTTAGATGATGATTGAAATTGATTATGCACACATATACATCGATCAAACATTGGATGAGTTTAAATTATTTTTGCTAGCATTTTTGGAACATATTTGTGAATTG